AACAACCTCGGTTTCCTCTCTACTGCTCTTCACCATGTTGCTCCCTAAAGATTCCTTAGTTACCATTCTGTGGTTAATTAATCTGTTTGCTGATTAATGACTTTCCTCTGACATATCAATGGGATTAAACCATGGTGAAATATGTTCTTCTCTGCTGCTGTTGCATAGTGTTTCCAGTTTTGTTTCTAACTGCATCTGGGTACCATGCCTTCTAATACGTGTGTGTGGTGCTGAGCTGGAGTGGTGAAAACTTGTGTAGGGCCAGGTGTTGAAAGTGCACCTAGGATGTTCTGGGAATAATATGGGCAGGCTGATGGGAATTTATTTGCAGTCTTCCTAGTCAGTGATTGCCATTTTCACCTGTGGTTGTATCAAATGATACTTCAGTGCATTTGCTCTGAACTGCTCTGGTAGTTGAGTAATGTCATACCTTTGGGGGGATGCTCAGCGTTAAGCAGATAAGAATTTGCAGGTTGAAGTACAAAAGCATGTGCCTTCATTCTTCAAACAACTATGCCAGCACTTACAGAGGAAGCGTGACTGCAAAGCGTATGCCTGGGTGTGCTAGTTTTAACCTACTAAGTAGGAGACCTTGTTACCTTAATTTGACATAAGTCTGCTGTGCAGGAAGATGCAGGGCCCCGATGCCAGTGTCTGAGCGCTGCTGAAAAATGAATTTCTTTTTTCCCTTCCCCACTGCCCCCTCTCTCACTCCCTGTCTTTTAAGTGGAGTAATTTTCAGCCTAAAGCAGCTCCTGGCTCAGTTCTTGGTGCAGCAGATGAACGCCATTCAAGCAGTTGGTAGAAATGAGAGGTCAGGCCATCTCCCTTTGCAGCAGTGAGACAGGCTGGTGCATGAATAAACTGACTGTGGGACTGTGGCCCAACTAATGCTTGCACTTAATGATAAAGAAGTATTAGTAGTAATATTTGCACGTGCAGATCTGCGGAGAACTGTATCTGTTTAGTTTGAAATCTGCTAAGCGTGCGCTACCCAAACACGTGCCATCTAAGCTCTGCCTCTGATTTTTATGCTAACACACAAAGTCATGCTACAGCAGTAGTCTTGCTGCGCTGGAAATATATGTGTATGAGGATGGTTTATTTGCCAGACTAAAGTAAGGAGTTTTGGTTAAGGTGAGAATAGTTGTGATACAGATCTGCTCAAAGGGTGTAGCTGTGTAACATGGTTCCTGCAGGCAGAGTAGTAAGAGACTTAAAGCAAGCACTGTGCTGACCAAAGAGTTATCAGCTGGGGTTTGCTGTTTCAATTACGTGCACTTCTTTCTATTGCAGTGAGACTTATTTAAAATTTAAATAGCGTTGACATCATGTTCTTTTGACCTAATTCTCAGGCATTTGTATTGTTACTAAAATGATCTGGGTATTATAATGCAGCGCACTGCAGAATGACAGTTTTAGGAAAGATTGGTACAGCTCTGGTGTTTGAATCTGAAATGGAGCATGGCAAATTCTGAGATAATGCTGTGATCTTCAAATATGAAAGCTTGTATATGTATCTTCTGGCTGGAAAGCCACAGCTGTAGCTTGAAACAAGCCCTGATGAAAAGTAACCCCTGGAAAACCGTTATACTTATTGTTTGTCATGAATATGGCATCTGTGGTGGGTTTGGGTTTGTTGTGTTTTTGTTTTAGTGCCTACTATTTAGTAGATGTCTGCTACTTCATTAACAGAAGTTGACTTCATTCTAATTGCAGGATGAAGTTGAATCCTTGTGAAATATTCCAACCTTTAACAGCCAAATTCAGTTTGCTACGTTCTTCCTTCTATACCACTCACTCCCATGGCAGCCCCATGCCAGGTGATGCACACACAGCCCGAGTCTCCCATGACTTTGTCCTTGCATTGGCACCAATGGCACTTTTTTCTCACAATCTTTATAAACAGGAGTGATTTATTGTGTTCGTTTTTTCTAAATGCAAACTGACATTTGGAAAACTTCTTACCCTTAACCCTACCGGGTTAGTTTTACAGAAATAGAAGTTTCACTTTTCTAGAAATATTGAGAACGGTCACAAAAAGATTCTTTTGTTTTGAGCCGATTCCAGAAGATGCAATGCCCTGCATTGACAAGCAGAGCTATGGGTGAGGTGTGTGGCCATGCCTGAAAAAAACCTGCTCAAACCCAGGCACAGTGTCACAGGGTACCTCAGCTGGAAGGGACTCCACTGGGTCCAACCTCTGGCTCCACACAGCACCACCCAAAACCCAATGCCTTGGAGCACTGGTGTCCCAGCGCTCACTGAGCTCCAGCAGCTCAGGGCTGTGCCCACTGACCTGGGGAGCTGCTCCATGCCCACCGCCCTCTGAGGCAGAGCTTTTCTGCAGTCCCCACGTTCCTCTCCCCTACAGCCCCATGCCATTTCCTCAGGCCTGTTGCCGTCACCAGAGAGCAGAGCGGCAGCTGCCCTGAAGCCTCCCTCAGCCACCTCTGGGCTGAGCCAGATGACCTCAGCTGCTGTTCATACATCTTGCAGGAAGCAAAGGCCAATCTCCCATTTCCCACAGCTAGCCTCCCCTGGAAGGCTGACCCAGGCCTCAGTCCCAGAGCAGCAGGTGCTCGGGGTTCACCTCAGAGCTGGCAGGCTGCGGTGCTCGGTTCTGGAAGGCAGGCCAAGCAGGCCGATAGTATTTCACTGCCGTGCCCTGATTACCCCGGTTTTACTCCGTAGTCTATTGCTCCTTCTCTTATGTACCTCAAAACACCTGTAATGACGCTTTAATTCTGCACTTGTCTGGTCCTATTTGCTTCACTCTGCTATTCGAATTGCGGTGCCGTACTGAATATGGGTTTGCTGAAAGCAGATGTCAGCCCTGTGGTGCAGTTGTGCTGGCTGACCTGTAAGACCTGTAATTTGGGGGAAACGTATCTAAAAAACATTCTGTAGCCTAGCAGAGGGAAAAGTCAAGCAGACAAGAAGAAATTATTTCAGTCTGTTGGAAGCTTTTGCTGCCAAATATTTTGGTATGGTCTGTGTTAGCAATAAGTAAATCCATTTGGAAATTATTTTACACATAGAATTATTGTCATATTACTATTAAAAACAGCAGCTCTGTGCTGGGGCGCACAAATCCCGCATGCATTCATGGATCGGCCAAGTGAAAACACGGTATTTCCCACAGGAAATCTGTCCCAGCATGCAGACTAGTAAAGCTCTATTGAGGATGCAGCTGCACATGTAGGGCTGCGTGCAGACGAACCTCCCTCTCTGCTGGAATAGCTCACACTGTAATCTTTGTAAATGGACGTTCATAATATTAAGGCATCAAGTAATTTCTTCTGAAATGTTAGACCCAATTAGGTCTACCTTAAAGATCTGCTACCGTCTTTACATACCTGAATGTTTTGCTGGATTTTTCTGATAGCTGGGCTTGTTTAACTTCTTTAACAGCTCTTGGCTTCTGCTCAGTTATTTTCTGTCAGACCTAAAGTCTGCATGCAGAACACAGACGAAACTTCAACAGCTGTATTTTGTTCTTGTTTGCATCTCGGTGTTCCACCAGGCACAGGTTTGGGTCCCTATCATTGAATCTGAGCGTTTTATTGCTTCAGCTTCTTTGCTGCCAGATGGCATTGTGAATGCTGAGTTGGCTCGTTCAGAGAGTAGCCAGATAGATGCCATGCTGCTGGCTGAGCGCTATGGTGGTATGGTGGTTTGGTTTTGTTTGGTTGATTTGTGTTTTTAGGTGAAGGTTGCAGGACAGCAATGCTTTGCTGTTTGAGTTCAGTGGCACCTTAAGAGATGAATCTTGTAGATTTTTTGAAGAAAGAATTTGTAGAAAAGAAAATAGTGTCAGGTGAATTTAAGCCATCCGTGCTGCAAGTGAGAACCCATTTTGTTTTATCAAGAGAGCAGGGGGATGACCGTGCGTGTATTTATTATTACTATTAATTATGAAAATGATCATCATTCACAGTTTTTAAACTTCGGGGCTGTCATGTCTTCAAGGAAAGGAATTGGTAGAATTTCTTTTGTTGTTTTTTTCTTTTTCAAGTTTACTTTTATTCCTGAGGATAGGTGAAGGTATTTTATTCAGTTCTCAGGTAACTTTCTTTCTGCAGAAGACAGCTGATCAAAGAGTGTTTACATTTCTTTAATTGTATTTCTCTGCAATCTGAGTGCAGTCACACAACGCCTGCCTAATTTGTGTCTTACAGAAAATCAGTAATGAGCCTTTCCCCTAACCGTGGGGATTTTTTGTTGTTGTTTCAAGTAGGTAGTGAGCCTAGGAGGAGCTATCGCATGTTGTTGCAGAGCTTGACAGTGGTCTGATTCTGGCTTTGCTAATGCAGACATCACTGCCCGTGCTGTCGGCATCCAAGAATTGCCCTGTTTGCACGTGGTTATTTCCCCTCTCGGTGAGGCTGGATTTTTTTAATGCAGGTCTCTTCTGATGTACCATTTGTTGTAACCAGAATGATTTTTTAAAAACTAGCACACGTGATGCACAGTGGATGCTCATCTTGCTGGTTTTGGCACAGCCTTTCTAAACACCAGGTGGAAGGCTTCATGGAGGTGCAGCTTACACGTGCAGTTTGTGAATGTAAGGTACATTTTATGTGCTGACATTTGTAGAGTTCAGTGGTCTCCCCTGCTCGCTGTCTGTACGTAGGTGTGCATGGTTTCTCTGCAAGCCTGGGTGATTCAGCAGTTAGAATGGAGTAAGTGATACAGCAGAGAATTTGGCTTCATTTGAATACCATGTTGTTGTGCTGGTAGCATGTATAAATGATTCCCCCCTGTATAAATGATTTGTTTGCTGTTAATGATGAGCTGTTGTACTGTGAGCATACAGTCATGCTCAGCAGCTTCACTACATCCTGGACTTTGCGTGTGGTTTTCTGTACGTGCCATAGATGGAAGTTGAACATCTAATTACTTTATAAGATTTGTGAGCAGAGATTTGTGCCCTGCTTATCCTCTACTTGTCAAGTACTTTCTGGTGCAATCTAAAGTCTGCTTTTGCTCTTCCTCAGGTCCTTTCACAGATGTTGTCACCACGAACCTGAAACTCGGCAACCCTACAGACAAAAATGTGTGCTTCAAAGTTAAGACCACAGCACCACGTAGATACTGTGTAAGGCCTAACAGTGGAATTATTGATGCAGGAACATCAATTAATGTTTCTGGTAAGTCATATAAGCAGCTCTTTGGTAACTGAAATGGCTTCATCAAATGAATTATTTCTTGGAATGTTTTGCAAGACAAAAGTATTGTGTGGAACGCTTGTAAAAGCGGGTGACGATTTCATGGAGGAGCAGCCATTTCATACATCTTTACTTCCCTTATTCCTGCTTTAGCAGTAATGGGGTTGTTTTGACATATTGTTTTGAGGGAGGGAGGAGGAATATATAAATAATTTATATGGTTCCATAGCAGCCTTAGCCAGCCTATCCAAGGCAGTGCTGCTGCAGCCCTGCCCTCCCAGTGGGATTATTTTTGTACGGTTCGCTTTTTGCCAGCTTGACTTCCTGAACCAGCTCAGTGCAGGATCAAACGAGTGCTTGGACGGGAACATCGAGGGAGGAATAAAACTGGGTGGACTGCAGCCACGCCAATTTAGGCTGATAGTTGGTTGCCAGACTACCCAATATAACCAACCAGTAAAGAAAACATTTATTTTGAAACCATGCTTGTTTTGTGTTCCTTGGAGATATAATATACTTTGGTGCTAGAAACGTCAAGTGACTAAAACTTTGCTATTTCATATGAAAGGTTAATGATTTTCTCTAATGAGTCAGTAGCTCTTCACTTGCCAAACTTGAGTAATGGAAAAAACAAAGGAGTGGGTTACACTGAAGGCATGAAGCACTGAGTATTTTTATACTCTAAAAAACTCTTTCAAAGCGTTTCATAGTGGTAGCCTGCAGAAATAAGGTCTGGTTTTGGAGTTACAGGAATGACTTCTGAAGATCCGTTTTTACTGTTTTAATTAAATTTTAATATTGCATAATAGAAGCAGATGAGTTACTGGCCTATGGGAAGATGATCAGAACAGGAGTTACGCATGGCAATAATTGATAAACCTATCAATTAGGCTCTTACCAAGCTTTTATGACCTGGAATAAATTATTTGTGAGCTACAAGGGTGGACAGTGACAGGACAAGGGGGAATAGTTTTGGTGTACCTGCATTTGCACGCTCACTGACCTTTTCTGTTTGGTATTCTATTGTGTCCAATTCAGCGTGCCTCTGAGTTTGCCTCACTTGCACTTAATTTCTGGAGCGTGTCACAGTGAGGTGGTAAGCAGTGCCACGTGGTACTGATAGCAAGGGGAAGGCGGAGCAGTTCTGCTGCAGGGGAAGGCTAGCACGTATGCAGAAAGCTCTGAAATGATTAATATGAAATTGAATAAGATCTCTAGAGAGGAACTGAAATCTTTAAAACTGGGGAAGATTCCCAAGTAAAGCTGTCTGTCATCTATACTAACTACAGGCAAGCATATTAAATGCACTGGAATCAATGAAGCAATAATGAAAATGAGCATGGTTTCTAGCTACAAATTATCTTTATGCTATAAAGATGGGAATTCTTTGCATCTCTCAGATGAACTTTCAAAATTAAAAGCTCTTTTCCTTTGCTAGCAAATAGCTCGCTTTTTAAAATGTCTTCTTGATCTCAACATTTTTTTCTTAAACTTCTGCTTACAGTGACCCTTTGCTCTACCTTGCAGAACATAGGATAGGGAAGTGCTGTGTGAACCTGTATCTTTTGTGCTTTTCCAGCCCCATTCTTCCCAGCAGTGTGCCACATGGAATATGGAACCAGTCTGAGATGTGACCTGAAGTGTCCCATTTTGAAAGATCACTGTGCTTAACCTAAGTTGTGCTTTGCTCTTGCTCACAAAGCTTCGAAAAAACTTTCCTTTTTTTTATGTACAACTTTTATTGTAGTGATTTGCGATTTATGATTCAGTTTTACAAATTACTTTGGCTTATTTAATCACAGAGCTTACATTTTCTGTTGTACTTAGTTGTGGTAATAAACTGTGCTAAATTACCAGCCCTTCTATTAATGTTACATATTAAATGCAAGCAATTCACGTCCATTGTTCTTCAGGTGGCACATTCAGGTAGATTTATAGGTAGATATGTTGCAGAATTCTGGAGTTATGAATGTTAAGTCTTCATTTTCTAACCCATTCAAAATAGAAGCTGCTGTCGTCTCGTTTTGTGGTTGAATTTCTGTTTAGTAAAGTCATACACATTGCAGTCCTGATAGCTTCTTCAAACCATGCACGGGGCTTAATTTTGGTACTGAAGGTATCAGCATCTTTGACTGTGATCAGCAGAAGGAATCTTTTGGATGTTGGGAATCGAAAGGGGAGCTTTCATTAACTTACAGATCAGAGTTATTTTCATATTCTTGGAAAGGAAGGAAATGTGCACCTCCTGCCTGCAAAAAATATTTGGTGCCAAAGTACAGTGATGTGAGGGTTTGTTTGTTTCCTGGAGTATTACTGATGGTTGGGTTCGGGGCAGCCTGCGTCTTCCTTGCACCATAGCAGCTGGGTGCCTTTCTTACATGCAGTTCCACAGGAGAGTCCTATTTTGGTCAAAGCTCATGAGAAGGTATTTTGTCCTTAGAGGCTGCTATCAGAACATTATTTCATGCTAGTGTGTTGGCTCATTTCACACACATAAAAAGCTAGAAAAGCAAAGCTTTCTTTATTCTACTGAAGTGTTGGATACTGGCTGCTTTTGCCCTATCACAGCTGCTCCTAAATACCAGCATTTAAGTCTCTGCCGGCACGCACTGCTTGCTGCAATGTCAGGTTTGTAGCCCATGTTTTCACCTGTTATATAATGGTGTGTAATTTTAACAGCTGAGTTTATGTAACTGTCAGGAAGTGTATGCGTGCTGTCACCATTTGATTGCGTTTGGTCGTAAGCGCTTGGCAAAGAAGGCTGTTTGCACCCATTCTGTTTTTGTTAAATGTGTCTTATTTGAACAAATACAGCTGATTTTGTGACTTCCGAGAGGTTGAAATCTAAATAAAAGGCATAAGTGAATTCGAGAGGAAGAGTGAGAAATGAGAAGCAGGTGCTGATGTCTGCAGCTAGGTGTGCAGTGGGAGAGATGAAGGATGCATTGTGTGCATCGCCGGGCAGCCCAAGCACATGCTGGACATGGGGAGAAGTGAAGTCACCCTTGTGTTGCCAGTCACCCTGCAGGGGGTGAGGGTTAATCTTCTGTGCAGTTACCTAACTAGGAAGAAGTGGGTTGTGTTTCCTTCAGGACGGGGCTGCCCACAGCAGTTCTGCCCCTCCTCAGCCACCAGCCATGTGCTGCTGCTGGCTGCATGCTGCTCCTCCAGGCCTCATTGGACAACACAGTGAGTGCTGAGCTTGGGCTTGGTCTGATCCGCTTGCTTTGCAGGAGTTTATCTTGGAGATTCAGCAATTGTGTTATCCAAGTAGCTACAGGAAGAACAATGTAAATGAGGAACAAGCCACGTGGTGCCATGGCTTCTCTTGACATGAGGATCAGTTGCTCGCCTCCTGCAGAGCTGCTCAGAGTGTGCCCTGATGTAGATAGTCCACATTGCTGGTGGCATTTCTGGGTAAAGCTGAGATGTGTGGAAGTTTTGATCTTGCCAGACAATAGAGAATTTCATGCAACATCATGTAGGAAACCCGTTAATAAAGGTAGAAAAGACAGTAAGACGCTCACAGACCAAATGGGCTGCATAAGGGTAAACAGTGCTGCGGTGGATGTGTGGCTTTCAAATGATAATAGAAATTGCTATGATGTTTGGTCTTAATCTTGTTAAATGCTTTCGTAAGCAGTTGCTGCTCAAAAAGAGCACGCTAGAAGCCCTTACAGAGATGTAAAATTCAGTGGCTGAAGATATGCAGCAAGAATTGAGTGTCCTTGAAGGCTTCAGTAAGAGAAACAGGATGAGTTTTGTCATAAAAACTGCGGAATTGTGTACTTGGATTTCTTCTGTAATTGCAAGCTTTCTGAACAAAGTGAGCGATGTTAGGATATTGTAACTGATCAGAGATGACCAAGTTGCTGACATCATGTGGTTGTGAATAGGGCAAATGCAGTAAGTGAAAACAAACTGGGAAACTGGGTAATGGAAGAGATAAGAGTGTAAATGTTGTTGTCACTAATAAGGTTTCATGGTTGTAAACACAGAGTAACTCATACAGAGGAATTCAAGCCAGAACAGGTGCGGAGAATGAATGGGGGCCCTGACTCCCAGAGGATAGCCCAAGTCTGGCTTGTTTAGTTTACCAAGAGGCCAAGAGTTACTGTGATTGATGACTTGATACAAGTAAAGGACTCTTCCCCTTCTTGGATATTTAAGCACAAGCACACTGTTGGTCCAAGACCAAGTGAACAGGCCATTAATAAATTTAGATGGAAACCAGAGGAAGGCTGCTGGTGATCTGAGCAGGGAGGCTTTTCCTTTCCTGCTCTTGGAAGGGAAGGTCGGATCCTGACAAGCTTTTACCACAGTTTTGCTTAACATCTTCCCTGCCTCAGGTTTCCCCTGCTTTGATATTGTTATTAACTTCACATTAGCTGATCAACAGCTGCTTCACTGTCTGAAGATCCTTGCATATCAAATGTGGGAGATGTAATGGGAATGTGTGAGAAGACTGGTGTCAGAACAGGATGTGTGTGGGGTTGATACTTCAGATAAATTCTGAGAGGCAATATGGCTTGCAAATACAACAGACATTATTCCTTATGCCGTTGGTCTCCCAATGGCTTTGCAGTTTTATCTTGTGACAGAGCACCACTGTAGGGCAGTCAGTGGAGGTGAGGAGATGGGCACTGCAGCCTCTGACTGATGAATGCTGGTTCTAGTCTGTTTGAAACTCCTGTTAACAAATTTCTCACACCACGTTCTGATGGGAGCTTTGGACCAAGTGAGAAGATTTGAAGAGGTATTTAGTGCCTTTTTCACATAGTTCTCGTGTAAGGTATGCAATATAGTTAAAGCAAAGGAGCTGTACTCACAGTAGTAAATTGTGTCACAGTTAGGGCACTTCCATGGAACTGCTCTTTCACAGAAACTCCCAATAGTACGAGTGTGTGTTGAATGGTTTTGAATGATTTGGTTTCCTCTTGAACAAAGGGAGTATTTTTGAGCTTCCCATCTGGCTTAGAAGACGTTTGCTGAATAATTTGTGTCGATGTGGCTTTCGTGTATTGATCTAAAAATACAAGTGCTAACAACACTGATACTGTCAAGCCCTCTCTAGCTGCTTGCTGTTATGATTCAGTGAGTGGAATTCAGAGCAGCAGTTGCTCAGTGTTCAAGAACAGCTTCAGCACTATCACTGGGGAAATAATGATTTCCAAACGAGCTTATGTTTGCACTGAGCAAAGCAAGCTGATACAACTGCAGATCTGGAGAAGTTCCCTAAGCAGTGAATAGCTTCAAGTACCTGCTGGCTCTTCCACGTCGTGTAGACTTGAAATAAACGTTAGGTGCCTGTTAGGGGCAAAAAGATTATTCTGCTGCTTTGCAGTGATGTGCAGTGCTGAAATACACGTCACAGTTCAGTCACTTCTGTTTGGAAGAAGAGTTTTACGTGGAGCCTGTTGAAATGAAAGTGTTTATTTTGGACTAGAAGTTGATTATTCTAAGGCAAGTTAAAGTGTATAATAAATTTCACTGCACATTTGAGACAATTTGCTGTCTCCTTTTTTCTGCAGCTTTAAAAGGCATGTGGTTGTTGATGGCCACAGATTGTGTGTGCAGTAAAAATGGCACAGGCAGAGCATATTCTGCTCACTGAAGGAGGCAGATTGGTTTGGCTCTTCTTCATCTGCAATAAATGGGATCTTTGGATAACACTTGCACATTTCAGATCCCTGCAATTAGTGTGTGTGAATTTCAGTGCATGTTAATAACACTGGTACTTGAAAGTAATCCCAAGTCTTGAACTGCTTCTCTTCATAGCGATTGAATTGAGAGCCTCACAGGCCACGAAATGTGAATTTTTGTTAAGTTTGTGCCAGTTTCATTTTAAATGTTTTGGAGGGGAGGATTTTTGTAATCTGTCTTGGCCCCCAAACACAGTTATTTTCTGCATTAAAAAAAAAAACAGAATTCCTGTGGTTTTTGGATGGAGATAAAAATTTTTATACCTTTCATAAGCGATTTTTTGTAGCATTTAAGCATAACCTTTTGGCTGCATTTTGATAACAAACTTTCAGCAACTTATTTTTGACGGAGGAATAGAACTCAAATAAACATCATGAGATATTCAAACTTCATAGAGGAAATTTCCATCCTGAACCTTGAGCCATACTGGAGGTTTGAAGTGTTTGGCTTTTCCTGGCCCTGCAGCCTTTCTCAGCAGCCATCAGCTATGCTGTGTACAGCTAATCACAGTGCCAGCTTGTTACTTCTATCTCAAGGACGGAGGAAAAACTTGATTCTTTCATTGAGAGGTTTTCCTGCTGCCTCAGGAGATATGTATGTTGTCCTGTTTGCTATAAATTGCTGTCATATTGCCATACTTGTGTGCAGAATACTGTACTGTGCTCAGCAGTTCCAAACTTCTCAGGCAGAAATTAGTGCGGACTGAAGAATTCTGTTTAACTTCTTTAATATTTATTTTAAGCAGGGCTCGGCTGCTCCTTTGTCAGAGGGAGGCACTACTTGCAATCATGTTCATGTCTGTGTTTCTCATATCTTGTAACTAATCATCTGTGCGTGGCTGTGCATCAGAGCAGCTTTAACGTAACGTTCTGGGGTTTTTCTTGCAGTGATGCTACAGCCTTTTGACTATGACCCCAATGAGAAAAGTAAACACAAGTTTATGGTTCAGTCTATGTTTGCTCCAGTTGATACTTCAGATATGGAAGCAGTAGTAAGTATTGAAAGTAAATAAAATGGATTTATTTCTGTTTCTGTAATTTTTAAGACCCTTTGCATCACTTCTTCAGGGCTCTTTTGAAACCAGGCTGCAATGTTCCTTGAGAGCATTAGCAGATTGCCATTGCAACCGTGGTTACTTCTTTAGAAGACTGCCATTGGTAATGGCATACCAAGCTGTGAAACATGTTAAGTTGTTGTAATTTTTATATATATATGATTTTTTTTTTTTTAAAGGCAGACTTGAACATGTTCTAATGATATGGTCTGTGGTATCTTTTATATTGCACCCCTTTGTACCCTGTCTTGGCTCTTCCCTTGAGCAGCTCCTTTGCCCAGTGGGAACCAGGAAGGTGGCTCACAAGAACTGAATTTTTCTTTATCCCTTTTGTTGTTGCTTAAATAAGCTGCCTATATAGATCTTAGATCATAGTATGGTGCATTACAAGTGAGAGTAACAGAAGCATATGATTTTGGTACTGCTACAGGAGAGCAAAAAGAAGCTGACTCTGGTCCAGCTTTTGTTAGTTGGAGAGAATATTTAATAACTGTCGAGGACACAATAAATAAGAAGAAACATGCATTACTCTGTAACGTCCGGGGCTGCCTGTATGTTTGAGAGCATGAAAATTACTGTATTTAAAACAAAACAACAGCAAAAACAGACACAGAATATGCAGCATGGTTTTTTGATGGTTTATTTTTTTGTAAAATTATGGGGTTTTTTTCAGTACAGGTTTTTTTTTTTCCAGTTCTTTACACCCTACTGAACAGCTCTTCAGAACTGAGGCCTTTTGGTAGAGTTGAGAATTTCCCTTTTTGAAAGAGATTTATGGAACTGTGTTTGTTTAATGGCCTTAAAATAAGATCCAATGAGAGAAACAGCAATAGCAATGAAATGTCTGCATCACCAGGTGAATAAGCCAGCCTGCATCTCTTTGTAACTCTTTAATTTTGTGAGTTACTTTATACCATATAGAATATTATTCTGCTAGCAAAGAATGTTTTTAAGGATCTAGATGGTCTTTCCAGTTTCCAGCTCTCCAGCCCAATACCATTTCTTTTCCTGTAACACTCGATCACTTCTCAGCTCTGTTACCACTCTCCAAATATCTTCCTATTCTGGATAAACAGGTGAGACAAATTACTGGGCTACTATAAAGCTTTCAACGCTTCTCGGGCAGCCAACAAGCTTAAAATAGAACTCTGACTTCAGCCCCAGAGAAGAACTGAAGTACGACTCGGCTGTTTAGGATGAGTCAAGTTCTTCTTCGCGTTGCACAGGGGTTACCCATAATTTGACACCTACTTGAGATATGCTGAGCGATACCAGAAGTGTGGCCAAAGTGGGGAAAAGCCACGAGGTCTCCCTTTTCTCTCATGAGTTACCTGAGTTTCAGACCATGAAGAGTGATACTGTCTGGTCTTCTAAGCTACTACTCAGCTGTGCATTTGGTTTTCATTTTTGGTTCTGTTTGTGTTTAACAGTAATGTGATAAACGCTTGTGGAGTTTTTCCTAAGATGGTATGGTTTGTTTCTGTAATACAGTACCTTTTCAATGTGTCTTACTATGCTGTTCTGTTTAATATTAAATTATTCCAGTGGAAAGAGGCAAAGCCAGAAGAACTCATGGACTCGAAACTTAGGTGTGTGTTTGAGCTACCGACGGAAAATGATAAGCCTGTGAGTATTTTTAGCTGCATATCGAGTGACTTTAATGCCTCAGTAAATCATGTAAAATGGCACGTGTGTCCAGGCAGCCATGTAGGCCCCAGCAGAGCGCTCTGTTCTGCTGCCTGCATCTCATCCTTCTTTTAAAATATAAAATAAAACCATTTTAAATCTTAGTGGTGCTTAACCTTGCTAGCAGCTAATTTGAACCGCCTGAGTGCATCGCAAGCACAAGGAAATCTTTGAGTTGACCTTTCTTCATTGAGTGAATGATCACATAGGATAAAAATGCTATTAAAAAAAAAAAACAACCAATTGGTATTAATAAAGCTAAGAGCTTTCCTGTTGAGAGATGTGATGAGGAAAGAAATCTGAATTAAGTGGGAATTAACAGCCGTTCTGTTTAGGGGTAACTTTTTCTATAATCTGTAAAAATTATCAGGAGAAAACAAAGCAGGGATAGTAACAAGTTCCTGATACCTTATAAATAAGAGCTTCATTTTAAGAGATTGGTAGAAATTGGGAATAGAGCATTCTGTTTTTGTTAGAGCCCAGGCCCTTTGCAAAACAGAGAGAGGATCCAAAGCCAAGAGGATGAGGGGGTTTTGGAGCTCTGCAGCTTTTGGTTCCTGACTTGGGCTGGAAGTTCTTCTGTCACCACGGAAAAACAGGATGGAGATGTGATAGCCAGCAGTGGGGGGAAGAGTGGGAAGAGTGAGAGAACTGCAGCAGAGCAGCTGGGTGGTTCCTGGCAGCTTGCTGCTGCTTGGAGCAGCTGCTCGTGTTGTGCTTGGAGAGGAAAAGGTGCAGAGAGCACCACGACTCCAAGCAGAATGTCAGCAGATAAGTCACATTTCCATTACTGTGGGACATGGTCTGATGGTATTTCCTTTCACATACATGCAAGGACTGAAAACTACGGGTCCTTCTGTCTGCACTTTGCTGCTGGTCTGGTGTTCAGGTCAGAAAGGGGAAATAAAGGTTGAAGAAGAAACAATGCTGCTTATTTTTTTATATACAGGCCCATTTTGAGTACTAACAGGAGATTTTATTTGATTCTCCTCCTGAGTATCAGATGCGGTGTTAGCAACTAACCAGAATCACTCTATCCTTTCTTAACAGCATGACATAGAAATAAATAAAATTGTATCCACAACTGCAACAAAGACAGATTCCTCTGTAATGTCTAAATCAATAAGTTCTTCCTTGGATGACGCTGAAGTTAAGAAAGTAATGGAAGAATATAAGAGGCTTCAAGTAGAAGTTCAGAGGTTACGGGAGGAGAATAAACAGTTTAAGGTAAAGATTCTTTCTTTTCCAGATTTGCTTCTCTCCTGACATAAAAGATTCAGACTGGAAGGTTTGGTTGCCTGTCCTTGGCACGGTGTTTTAATGTTGTCAATCAGCAGTTTATGTTTCTCTTCATAAAGCCAGAAAAAAAGTGTGGAAATCGATGGTTCCTCTGAGAGGAGCATACAACTCATGCAGCTGGAGAAGCTGATGGGATAGCAACCCAAAGGAATGAATCCCCACTCATTTTTATTTCTTTTTCCCCCATCTAATTTCCTGAGTTTGGATGAAGCATTCAGTGTTGGATTTGGCCCTGTGCTCTCTGACTGACGGGAGTTTGAGGGCAGTGTTGTGCCAATGCTACACGTTGGTCAGGACACCTGTAGCACACAACTGATGGGAGTGAAGTAGCACAAGAAATACAGTTCTGGTCACACCCAGCACATCCCTGTGAAACCAAACAGATGAGAAACCATGATCACCAAGCTGAAGACCTGTTTTGGTTTCATTTATTATCGATCTCTAGTTTCAGAGGTATCAGCACTGGTGGAAAATGTAGAATTTGTTATTGCTAGGCCCCAAAGAAAGCAACTCTGTTCTGTCAGCTCTGATGTTGTGTGGCTGGCTGGTGCATGAAGAAATTCTTTAAACACCTGTAAAACATTTGTGTTTTTTATTCAGGAGAAGTAATTGATCTGTCTTCCTTTAGGAAGAAGATGGACTTCGGATGAGAAAGGCACCCCAGACAAACAACCCAATATCTGCTTCTGCAGCTGTTGTCAAGGATGAAGGGCACAGCTCCAGACTACTTGCTTTGGTGGTTTTGTTCTTTGTCATTGGTGTAATTATAGGAAAAATAGCCTTGTAGAGGCAGCATGCTGGAAATTGTAAATTGGTTTGATGGTTCTGCCATATCATTGGATTAAATTTATTCATAACAGTGTTTAAAAAAAAAAAAATTAATGTATGACATCTCACAGGTCTTGCCTTTAAATTACCCCTGCACAAATATTATGTAACATAATCTAGAAAGTTTAAAATGTACAATGAGGGAATGAATGAAAGAATATTCTTCAGTGATGAAGGGGGAAGAAAATCATGATTTAACACTACAATGGAATATTGTATATGTCATTTTAAACATTCTTAGTCCCTGGTACATGTTGCTGGATGACCTCTTTTTAAAAAAAAAAAAAAGGAAAAAAAAAAAAAAAGGAAAAATAGAAAAAACAAAAGATTCTTCCACTGCTGGAGCTGGCCCTATTGGATGTTTGGAGCTGGATTAGGCAGGAGGTGTTGATAACTTCTGTAAAATATGTTAATCCACCATTCTGCTCATAAATTTAACAGTTTTTCTGTCAGTGTCTTCAACTCTGTGCAAGTTACCAATTTCTTGACACTTAAATGAATAGTGAGAAGCTGGAAAGAGTTGTATGTGGCAGTGCTGAATGTGCCAGGCATCATGAAGAGGCGTGTATGGACTGGTGTGGCGCTAGCTGGGAGTAGAAGTCAATGCCTTGTTCTTATGGAGGGACCAAGCTGCATTGCTATTGGTTCATTTAGTTGAATTAAAATGTTATTCAGAGATGTTTAATGCATATTTAACTTATTTAATGTATTTCATCTCATGTTTCCTTCCTGTCACAAAATTGACTAATGCTTTATGGTATGAAAAGGCACCTGTTCTAAAGCCAGTGACTAGAACTAAAAATCTGCTGCTGTAGTGATGCAAGATTCTTCTGCCTCCTGTAGTTTTGGGCACTACGCAATTGTTGGGAGTTTTGATCATCTGAGCATTGGGAAAACAGTGGTCAGGAAACTGTTTTTGTATGTAAATAAGTCTATCTAGGGGAAAAAATATTAGTAGTAAACTAGTCCTATGCCGTAAAAAGACCAATCCTGTTTGATGATGTAGCATCTAAAAAAAGAAAAAAAAAAAAAAAAGAAGAAAAAAAGAAATTAAATAAAGCCCCCAAATTAATGTTTCTTTTGTTACTGTTGTCATGCTCTGATAGTTTTGGCGGGGAGGGAGCAGCATTATCTGTCAACTTAGCTTGTTTCTAGCATAAGGAAACCGGTAGCCGTGTTTCAGGAGGACTTTTCCCTGCCTCATTTTACAATCCTTGTGAGCAGCCCCACTCTGAGCATCCTTTGCTGGGATGCTGTGTGTGTTGTTCACAGGAGCCGTGCTGATGCTGAGGTGCTGCAGAACTTCACATTTCTCAGTTTAGTTGGATTTGTTGGTTAAGATGCTTCCTAACATATTGAACGTGAAGCAAAGGTAATTTTGTTTATTTTCTTACAAAACTCAGAAACTCCATGTGCTTTAATGTGTTGGGCCTCAGTAGATGAACTAGCTTCTGAGCAAGTGAGCCCTTGTATAATCTTAGATCCTATGCCCAGAAACAATTGCTGACAAAGTTTTTGTAGCACCATTCAAGGTTAAGAAACATCTTCAAAACGTGGCTTCTTCCATTCCTTTTTTGCTCCTGGGATTCCTTGGGAAGGGTGTTTGGGCAGCTGCTGTCTGCTGTGCTCTTCTCCATCATTGCCTTTGGTATTTGTTCCATTTGTTTCTCAAGTGCAAAAAAGTGAAACTTCATGTGAGATTTAACAAGAAAATGGCTTTGGGGGGATGAAAAACTGTTTGGTGTTTTCTCCTTAGGAGCACAGCTCTGGAAGTAGCGACAGAAAGGAGAGGGTTGTTACTTCAAAATGTTACTGCCTGCTTGTCTGCTTAGGATGGAAGGACAAAGAGCTGAAGTGTGGCTGCAGCGCTGTGCCAGGAGAGCAGAGCACAGAGGTCAGTGTGACAGAGTGGGCTGAGGGATGAGACAGAGGAGCAGAGGAGTGCAGACTTCTACAGAAGCAGTTGAGAGGGCCTTTTCAGAAACATGAGTTGTAAATAATGGAAAAAAAGGTAATTGTTGGCTTTAAAGAATGTGTTTGAGAAATTTCTTCACTGAAGGGAGGCTGAGTTACCCGGTGTCTTTAAGAGGCTGCGTATACCTTGCTTTCACTAGAAATGTTATTGGAGGAGCTGAAATCCTAATTTGCTTCACAGTATATAGCATTAGCTTTGAGAGCCCTAAAAAACAGCCTCAGAAAGTATTTAAAAAAAAAAAAAAAAAAAAAAAAAAAAAAAAAAAACACCTTTTCAGGGCAGAGAATCGAAGCTTGACACTGATCATCTCTTGTGAGTGTGTCTGTCAGAGCACTCCAGGCAGCTGTTCCATATGGCTGGCAATCACTGCTGGCACAGCAGCTTTGAATGAAGCAGAAAGTCACAGAACCACAGAACGTCCATCCTCCTTGCACTGTTCCACACCCACGCTGATGGTTTGGAACTTCCAGTCATTGTGAGCAAGTTTGTCTTTGTGGTTTGCACTCAGGTTTATAAAGAAGTGCCACAAAGAAGAGTTCTGTGTGCTGCTCGATGCCTTACAAAGGCACGGTGAGAGATGTGCAGGACTGAGCAAGCTGAGGATGTACCCAGAAAGCTGCAGTCTGCAGGAGGGGCAGACCCACACCTCCAGCCCTAATCAGGACTCTTAAATTAACTTTGTATCTTTGGCAGCTTTAACAAGTAATAATCGAGGTCTTTCCTAACAGTTTTTGATGACAGCCTAGACAGTAGCTTTGCTTTTGCTGGATTTAAATGACTGCTGAGTAGAATCCTTGTTACCTGCCCTTTAGCCAGACCCTTCTTTCATATGCAACAGAAAGAACAGTGAAGGTATTTTTTCTTGCAGTTCCTAAAGGCCATTCTGTGGAAATGCTGCAAAAATAACCCAGCTTTTATAAACCGTCCTTTAGATGCTGCTGCTGGGAGAGCTTTTGTTTGGATTACAGGGGGTGGATATTCTGGAGGGCACTGTGTATCTTAGGCATGAAGTGTAGAGCTCATGGATAACACTATCATCTGGTGTCCTCCCACAGCAGCAGCTGCTAGGAAACTGTAGTTGATACACGGTAGTAGAAAACAAGTTATTACTTATTGTCCTTACTGCTCTGTTCAGATACGTTTACTGTTAGTTTTTCTAAGAGCCAGCAGAGGCTGCTTTGGCAGTGCTGTCCTTGTGGAGCTCTGGCACTGCTGTCTGCACAATTTGGGTGCCTCTGCAAACAGTTCTAAAATATCTCAGAGCCGAAGCGTGCTGAGGAGTGAATGAGAAAACCATTTCTGCTCTTTTCACTTGGCTGCTCCCATGTTACAGCACCGTTCCGTGTGTGAGCGATGGCGTCCCTGTGCGCTGCAGCTGTGCGGTGTGGATGCACAGCAGTGGTGTGTGCAGGCCAGGCACCCAGTGCTGGTTCTTGTCAAGTAGCCGCAGGGCCCAGTTAAGTTAATACTGCGTATGTAATGCTGAGAGGGACTGATGTATCATAATGTAATTTTCTAAAAATACAGGATTGTAATAGCTTGGTGATGGTATTCAGTGTTACTTCTTTTCTGCTGAAATGCTGTTAGTGGGATAAAGCTGGAAATTCACTTTACAAATTGCTAGACTTTCTTCTCACCAATAAACCATAAAGGGTTTCTAGTTGCTGCACTTGTGAACTTGCAATTCTTATTATAACCTTGACTTAGCAGTCAGTATACTTACATGGTGATGTGGTACAAAAGGGATCTCTAATGTCATGGTGTTTGACATTGCACTCACCAAGTGCAAGAAGCTCTGTGTCATCCCCCTTAAAAAAAAGTGTTGTTTTCATCGTTTGATTGGAACACCTCCTTCATTCATGGGCGCAGTAGTGACCTGTGGAATTCTGAGCTCTTCACGCTGTCCTTACTTTGCTTTGCATTATGTCCCATCATGTCATATCTCACATTCTGTTTTCTATCTAAAGCAACTGAGGAAAAGCACAACCAAAGAGCCCTCTGTTTGCAGTGGATGAGCACATAGGAGCAGCCCTCTGGATCTCGTGTGCTGTGCAGCAGTACCATGAGCAGCATGAAGCAGCTCAGAGTTGCTTTTCAGTTCTGTTTGCAAACGGGTCAGCACCCATTACTCAGATCCTCAAGTGAGCAGGTTGAAAAAGGACAGGTGGTGAGTTGCAGTCTGCACATCTGTGTGTGCAGGGTTTCTTTGTGTGTTGTTATTCAGAAACAAATACGAAAAAAGGTGACTGTGTAGGACTGGGATTAGTTACATGCCATACCTGGATGTTACTCTTCCTTGTAATTTCTAGCATTTCTACAAGTCTGATTTACTGATGAGGAAATACATAGATCAGTGTGTGGGCATTTCAGAAAGAAAAGTGACTACTGAGCGAGGCTGCCTGCTCCTACGAGCTGAAATCTTCCGCAGGTTCGCTCCATTAAGAGCTGACAATGGGCTGCAGTGCTGCTGTGAGCCATCAGAGGCAGTTAGACAAAGAGGGGTTTGTTGTTCAAGCAGGGCAGTGCAGATCCTTTGCCCACATCCACCAGCGATTTCTGTGTTACCCCCACTGCCTCGTGCTCTGAATCACTTCGCTGATGGCTGTCAGTGCTGAAGGGACGCAGCGTTGCACTGCTGCCTCTTGTTTGGATGAGCTTCCGAGGACAAAGTAGTTGTGTTTCTGCTACTCAAATCTGCTTATCTGTAAAATTTGTTTTATCAGTTGATTTTTTTTAGTTTATTTTTTTTACTGGATAAATGTAGGCTTTTCATTGAAACAACACAAGTGCGAGCTGTTCAGAAGCCTCTTTCGTGATCTGATATGCATTTTTACTTCATTATACCTATCATTGGCTCTGCTGTTCCCGTGGCTTCATTTCCTTTTACAGAACTGCTTTCACATTTTTACCTTGGAGAGCACAAGTTTGACAACTGTCCTAAGCTCCCACAGAGATGTTTTCTCCCTGGTCCAGGCCCAGGTTTGTCCTGAAGCATCTGCATGAATCTCTCCAGTCTGTGAGTAAAGAAACAAGGCTGCATTTCCCTGAAGCAGATTTTGAACCTTGGATCTTTCTCCTATAATGTGTCATGGGAGAAAGGCCTTTTCCAGATGGCAAAGCAAAAGAAGATAAGAAAACAAATGAATTAAGGGATTAATTGAACCTGCATATTACAAGTTGACATCATACATCTGGCTTTTCGGTTTATATTTCTCCATTGGTACACTTCATTCTCATTTAATAAGTTCCGAATTCTGTGACTTTTTTTCAAGCTTTTGAAGTGCCTACAAAGAGCTGAGGAGCAGCCTGCAGGGAAGTGCTGTCCCCAGTTTTGCCATACTTTCTTTTTTTTAATCAATTTTTTTTCTTCAGTGGAGAAACTTGCAAGACCAGAAGAGCCTTCTGAACTCCCTCATGTTTGGGTTGGCACAACTCCCACGTGTAATTATCCATACACAGCTACTTTCAGAAGGACTTTATTAAGGCCGTACAAAGTCAGGAGCTGGGAGATGACAGAGCTGAGCCGCGGGTTTGGCTGCTTGGAGGGAGTGAGAGGTGGCTCTGATGCCCACTGCAGCACTGGGTGACCAGAGGGTGTCCAGCAACAGCACTGCCTGGCACTGCATCAGCTGAAGTCCTCTTAAGATCTGTATAATGTGGTTTTTGAAGCGTCACCTGAATCAATGTGGCACAACACAGAACCCACCCGTACTTCAGGGCCGACTGCTGTGTGCTGTGGGGCTGCAGGTGGAGCAGCAGCTGCTGGGTTTCACTGCCGTGCTCATCAGTTTGCTCCTGGTGTCCGGGTGCAGTCAGCCATCTCCTTTCTGTCCCCTGCTGCCTCAGTGCAGTGTGCTCATAGTCAATACGAGGCTTTTAGATTCAGTGTGGATCGGTTATCAGATCGTAATGATTTATCCAGAAGTGTTTTAAAACTTTGTGCGTTGTTTCAGTTTTGGGGGCAAATTAGAAAACATGGTGAGGCATTTTAAACACGGGCAAAGGATGGATCGCTGCAAGAGGTTCGTTCCTGCTAATGGAACTGTTGAACAGATCCGACCAAGGCTGAGTTGGCAGCTGTACATCAGTGTGCTGCCCCAGGAGCAGAGCATCACAGGCCGTGCATCTGAGTAATGATGGGGCTGGATGTGTGAGACTTATGCTCAGATGCAGTGCAGGAAGCAACTGAGTGTATGCAGAATGCTTGAAGTGTGCTGCTTCTTTTTTTCTTCTGTTTTTGGAGGTGGTACTTTTCATCATTTTAACTGTATTAGAAGTTCAGAGGAAGGCTTTGGAGACACGTGTGGCTGTGTCACTGACTTCCAGCTGGTACAAACAGCCCTCAGCTTGCTTTTTCTTCACAGCTACAGCAGGAAGGCACGTGTGCTTCAGAGCCAAACAGAGTTCAGTAGTCAGATGCTTGTTACGTCCTTGACTTTATACAGTGTTAGGCATGAAGGTATTTGCTTTTGTCCTGGTTGTGCTGGCAGAGGAGAAAGGAATCGGAGCACCAGGAGTTGGTGCTCCCTGGGGGATCCCCCCTGCATTCAGGCGAGGGCCTGCAAGCTGCCGGGGAACCTACGTGGTGCTTCCAAAGGGCACAGCTCAGCAAATTCAGCATTAAATCTGCTGGTGAAGAAGAAATTAGATGGCAAGCAGAATTAGAACTGGCAGTTTTCTATGAGAAAGGTAGGAAATGGCCCAACCTCAACAGTTTGGCAATTAAGGAAGAGAACAACTTTGGCAAAAAGCCCATCCTATTTCAGTGATGAATGAGGGGGAAAATAGATGTAATATAAAACAAGAAAAGGGAAACTGACAGCAGTCAACACGAAGGATAAGAGTTATGAAGTGTAGAAAATTAATAAGGAAAGGAATAGCCAAAGGAAAAGAAAAATGTATGGGCTCGAGTGCTTGGGGGGGAGGAGGGGGGTGAAGAGCTGAGGTACGGAGGAAATCTTGGCAGGAGATAAGGGTTGTTTCTGGATGCAGGTGGTGAAACTGCTAGTGAGGAGCTAGGAGAACTGCAGAGCTGATGTCATTCATTAGCAGTGCTTAACATTCAAAGTTAACATCTTCAAATTCAGCCTATAAAACTTCTGTCAGTACTTGTAAGGGAGTTGTCTGAGGCCATCTCTGCTGATGAGGGTGGCATACAGCATGGGGTGACCAGGTATGTGCTTGCTTAGCTGGTCAGCCCTGGGAAAGGGATGAAAAAGGAGATGAACACTAACGGAGGAGCATCGTGTAAAGTCACTTATTTCATCCTGTGTTTTATTTCTCTTTTTTTCTTTGGGATTAATGTGGGTTGGGTGTAGCTGGACCCCCAGCAAAGCCTGGCGTTCTGTGAAAATGGCACATTTCAGAAGTGGTCCTTGCAAGAGAACCGCAGTGAAATGGGGATGCTCACAGGAGGCTTCTGCAGGGATCTGATACAATTCAGTGCTTCCAAATCACCGGTGAAAATATACCTAAAATCGCTACTGAGAAAACAGTAACACAGTGAACATCTCTGTGCTCAGAGTCAGAGAATGAGAGCTGCACCTGTGCTCCCAGTGCAGTCCCAGGGTGAAAAACTGACAAAGGTCACGTTGTTTTAATTATCCCTGGCAGTGATTGTATTTCTGTATGTCTCAGCTATGAGACGGGCATTTTTGATGCAATTTGGATATTTGGACGTTGAGACAGAAGCTGGATAATTGGGATAGATGCAAAAAGAGATTCAAAACTTACTAAATTACTAGCAGAGTGTGAAAGGCCATAGAGGGAGAGAGAAAACTGGTTGGCTGAGTTTATCTGAGAATGTCTTGATGACAGTGCACGACTACCTTCACGCACAGAAAATAGCAAACACCACTCTCTCTTTGATCTTAGCAAAATGAGCAAAACAGGACTCACTGTCAGATTGGAAAAAAGGCACAAATTCTTGAGAGAATAACTGTATAATTTAGAAATGTTTCTCCCAAAACTGTGAAAAGAACAATAAAAGTTGCAATGTTTATGCAGATAGCATTTTCATGGCTTCTTTTCCTTTCCAAAGTGTGAAGTGCTGGGCAGGGCTGTGCTCAGTGCTGCAGAGCTGAGCTGTGCTGAGCACCACGGCTGCTGCGGGGGAGCTGGGGGTCTTTCTCCAGTTTTGACTATCATAACCTCCTACATTGCATTAATTGGTGATGGCAAACAGCACTGCTATGGAAAAAATTGCATGCAGCTTCCAAGAGAGGCAGTGCTGCTATGCCTCAGTCATACACTGCACCTTCCCAGGGTGTCCCAAGATGACAAAAGCCCTGTTCCTCACGGTGCACTTCAGTTCTTCAAATGTTTGCCCACACATCTCCATGCAGCAGCAAGCAACAAAGCACAACAAGCTTTGGCAACGAAGGGAGGCGTTGTGCCTGCTGAGCTGAACCCTGGAGCAGCCTCCACTGATCGCACTGAAGGCAGACGAGCCGAGTTTGGCCACTGTGCACATCAGAGATGTGGCTGCTTACGTGGGCCTGGCACATGTGAACATGCTGACAACATCTGTGTCACAACTGTATGCATTTAATAAGCATCTCATCTGAATTATTAATGTACAGTTCCCCCCAAAAAGTACTTTGATGCTATAAAACCCATAAATTATTTAAGTACAAGCTGCAAGTTTGTAAAAACAGCATTAAGAAGTAGCTATTGCATAGATGGTTTAACAAAAATATCCTTTGTAAGATATATAGGCTTATTTGGAGGGGATTTAGCTACTGGGAAGAGATCTTCCCCAGGTATGTTATATGCTTCTTGGCTGCAGCAAGGGGAATGTAATTTCTTACTCTCTCCTTCTTGCCAGCAGAGCTCTGGACAGTCTGACAGTGCTGCTCAGACTCGTCTCCTCAGCGCCCTGTTCACTGCAGGCAGATTTATAAACCATCTTCAAGTGAACGGGGCTGGCAGTGACAGTCCAACTGATACGACAGCTGGATTAACAGCCAATGCACTTAAAAGAGGAGACAGTGAAAATATACAGCCTGAGAAGACCTGAGTGATCTTCTGCTTTGCTCACTGCCTGTGAGTGGGAGCTGCAGTTGGCAGTGCCAAAATAGTGCGGCAAGGATGCAATGTCTGCAGCTACAGAATGCTGGGAGTTGGCACCGCTATGCACAGGAGCCTCTTCTATTTACTGTAGCTTTTCTTTCAGGTGATGCTCTGGGGTTGCTGCTCTGCATCTCCACATGTATGTACATGTGAAAACTGCAGAAAACATGTATAAACTGAGAGGCATCGTTAGCTGTGTCCTTAGTGAGAGCACTTGCTGACACTGTATCTGGTGCTGATGGACACCGCAGATCAAATTTGCACAAACAGCAATAAGGACTGTGGCGGAGGGAGCTTGACCTCAAAAAAACTCAGCAGCTGACACTCTGGATGTTTGAATTACATCTGAACTAAGCCCTTGATTAAATCTTAGCAGTGCCAAAAGCTCAAAGCATCAGTTGCAACTGATGTTGCTCTTTTTCCCCTCATTGCTGAAGTACTGACTGCAATGTGCAGTGCATCCATGTCACTACATTACATTGGTATGCAAAGACGAGGGGAGATGAGGCAACGAAGCCATCAGGCAGTACGTGGTCAGGCACATCTTCTTGGCTTCAGTCACCGTTCTTTGTTTTTTGCCTTCTTTTTTTTTCTTTTAAAGTGTTTCCAAGTCTAAGTAAAACTGGTTCCAGATGTGCTCAGTTGGAAGTTACAAAAATCATATTAGCACCAAGACTATCTGGGTTCTGTGCTGTACCTGAATAGAGAGCTAGTCCCATCTTAGCACCTGCAGTGCTATCAACAGTAAGAGGGCCACAGGCAAAGGTTTCAGTTCTTCACTGCCGTTAGCACCCTCTTTCCCCACATGTTTCAGACTATAGTAGCTAGGGAACTCCTCTGATGCAGCCGCGCACTGAACCAGGGGCGCCTGGTAGGACGTGGGCCGTTTGTCGGGGCGGTCGGGGCTGGATCCATCCGTGGGCCTCTCACCAACGTACAGCAGGCTGCGCTCCTTGGGGTCGTGCTCTGTTCTGAAGAGCTCATACTCTGTGTGGGGCAGCCTGATGCCCAAAGCCAAGCAGCCGTTGGTTGGCGTTATATCCTGCTCCATGCCGGCGCTCCAGGAGCTTGCGAGCCCGCAGCTCCCTGGTTCGGAGGAGTTCAGCATCATCACCGTCACCTGATCCATGGGCGTCACCCGTGCTTGTGTGACTTTGAAAGCCAGCTCCGTGCCCCCTTTCACCTTGGAGGAGGGGACGCCCTGGGTGTAATGCCCAGATGCGTAAATGGTGAAAGTGGGCTGCTTGCAGAGCGGGTCGGAGTAGTGGTAGTAGTAGCCCTGCCAGGTGTGGTTGCTGCCGTGGAAGATGAAGTACCGAGTGAGGAAGAGCACGGCAGGGCGCACCTCACAGCGGGTGCTCACCCAGCTGCCGCTCAGCTGCACCGGCAGCTCGACCTGGGCAGGCAGGATGGGCGGGTGGTGCTCGTCAGCTCTGTAGATAGCGCCGCAGGCCGGGCAGGGATGCATGTGGTGCTGCAGGAGACAGAAGATTTTCATGTCAACCGATATGACCAAAAAAACCCTTCTCACAGTATTTAAAAACCCCACACTTCCACTCCCACACCAGCACGTTCGACTGCAACAAACTCAATCCAAGACACCCCGGTAGGTTAAGTGTGATGAGGAGCTCTGTGCCGTCCTGAGCTGAGGCTTCGCACGCAGCAGTGGAGCTGGACAAGGCCAAGAGCTGCTGCAGCCCCGCGCCTCCGCCGTCCTTTGTCAAACGCCAGAGGGTTTGGGGCGGCCTGGAACACTTTCTGGCACTCTGTGCATCACAACTGCTTTACTTTTCATTAAGCAGGGCTGGAATGTTGTATCGTTTTCCAGAACACGAGCTAATCTTTGCTGAACCACTGCATGCAGCAAGGTTAAATAACTCAGTAGTTAACTGGAGAGGGGGTAATTTACATGTGAGTTGATTGGAGCCTACTGTAATTTAGTCATTTTCAGTTTGTTTTACTGCTACTGTCACATTAATGAGTGCTGACAGTACACAGTACATTATGGCTAAATAATCCCAGAAGTTGGCAAATGTATCTGCTCTCCTCAGACAGGAAATTCTTTGATAATGAAAGGTAATTTGGGAGAATGGGTTTCTTTAAAAGAAGTATAAATTTAAGGGAAAAAGAGTGATATTTTCATCAAGAGAGTTAAAAAATAATTCCTAGCATAGCTCTGCTGCTCTCACTAGCACAGGCAAAGGAATATGAGTCCAGTGACAAAAAAAAAAGAAAAAATAAAGGCTGTTCCCAATGAACTGATCACTATGGACACGAAGCCAACTGTCGCACTCCCTCAGCCTTCTCACTGCCATGTGAAGAATTCTTAATGTATGGCAGCTTCTAATGACCGCCAAGTGGTGACATCATGCGCGGGTGCATTGGAGAGCTGTGAGCTGATTAATTACAGTGCTGTACTTGGAGAATGGATTTCAGTATCTTTAAGTTTGGGTTTAAATTAACTTTTAGAAGTGTTTATATTTACCATCTGGTTTTGCTCATATATATGGGTTTGGCCCAAGATAACACAGTTTTAACCAATTTGGGAAGGTTACTTTGGAGGAAGGGGGGTGCTGCTCTGTGGTTTTCTTTTTCCAAGCTCAACTGCTGTCATCTGGGGCATGGGGAAATGCTGCCCCCCACAATCTGCACCCAAAAGGATTTTTTTGTTGTTAACTCAGTTCCATCTGGCAAAATGCAGAGAGGTTTTCCGCCCCCCATCTCACTGCTCAGTCATTTCTGAATGGATCAGACATGATTCAGATGAAAATGTGCTTTCCTGAAGATAAAGCAACCTGCTGCAACATCTGAAACAAAACAAGAAGCAAGCAGGGCTCCTGTTCAGCTCTATTTCTGTCACAGAGAACGCTTGGTTTCAGTGTAATAGCATTTCTCAGAGCAACTTCCTCCTCTAATGGCATTACACAGAGCAGCAGCAGTTTAATGGCAGACACTGACTTCCTTGCTCCTCTGAAACTGAAGGACATAACAGGGAGGGATGGAAGGCAAACAGCAGAGTGGGCAGCAACGTGCCGCCCGAAGCCTTCACTGCCCGTGGGGCAGGAAGCCGGGAAATTGCATTTCCGAGGAGAACACAGAGCCAAAGAAAAGCCATTAATTGCAGCCCCGTGCCAAGGCAGCCTTACTGCTCGTGCTTGCGGAGCGCTCGCCCATCCCACTCCAGCAATCAGGAAGGGATGGGGAACTTCCATCTCCTCCTGGGGTCTGTGGGGCTCAACGTGCAGGCAGTCGGTATTTTCACAGCACAAAACCAAGGAGCGCTTTGCGAAGCCCACGGGCTGGGCGCCCGCACTTACCACGGCACTCTGCAGCGGACGCTGGTAGCCCGTCGGGCGGTAGTGCAGCCGCTCCGGCCAGTCCGTATGGATGTCTCCCAGGTACAGCTCCTCCACCAGGCTGCTGCCGCTCTGCTGCGGCCCCGGCAGGGGCTGATGGTGCGTCTCCACCCGCAGCAGGCTCAGCTCGTGCATGGCGAAGCCCAGGGCCGCGGTGCAGTCCCGCTCGGTTTTGGCGCTCAGCAGTTCGTAGAGCGCTCCGGGGCTCCAGGCGCGGCCCGGGGGCAGGAAACCGCTGCAGCCCTCGCCCGAGCTTCGGTCGATGCGGGAGGCCGCCTCCCGCATTGCCTTCTGGCTGTGGAAAACGATGCCCACCTTGTGCAGGTGGTAGTCGGCCTCAGTGGCCCCGCGGGTGATCCACGAGGCCTGGCGCAGCCGCAGCTTGCCCTTGATGACCAGCGAGTAGGAGGGCTCGCGGCAGGACGGGTCCCAGTAGTAGAACTGGAAGGCCTTGAAGAGGCGGTTGGCGTAGAAAAGGTAGGAGCGGGTGAGGAACTCCGGCCCCGGCCGCACCTCACACCTGGGGACAGAGGCAGCGCTGAGCGCCGGTACGGCAACGGGCGCCTTGTGGGGAGCGGGGCTGAGGCGGGGGGGAACGCGGGGCACGGGGGGCAGAGGGGCGGGAGGGGCAGATTTCGAGGTCTTCTTTAAAAGCCGCAGCCAAACGCGACGGTGGCGGTCACCGAGTGCGACGTGGTGCTTTGTGTCCACCGGGAAAACGGGACGGAGGGGCTGTGGAGCCCGCTTTGCCCCGCGGCCAGTGGAGGAGGGAGGCTGAGGGGTCGGGTCGGGTCGGGGTGGGCTGGGGTTCCCGCTGCCCGCGGGGCCTTTCTTACCCGGTGGAGACCCAATGGCCCTCCAGACGGGGCGGGAGCCGCGCCTCGATCCTGGCGCCGTCCTGCAGGTGGCGGAGCTGCTGCCGGCACCGCGGCTCCCAGCGCAGCGAGCGCTCTGCGACCGCGTGCACTGCGGGGAGAAGGCGGGGAGGCGGTCAGTACACATGCACACACACATACACACATACACATATACACACACATACACACGATACACACGCGCGGAGCCCCCGCTGTTGCCGGCTCCCAGCTCCAGTACCTGAAGCCATCGCTCGGTCCGTCTGCGCAGCCCTTTGTTCCCGCTCTCTCCGAAGCCGCAGCGGCAGCGCAAACCGATACAGAACTACGGCATGGGAACGGCGGCCCGCCTGTCGCCCGCCATAAGGACAGCACTTCTGTCACTTACCTCATTTCCCATAACAGCGGATGTTACTGGCTATGGGAATGTGTGAGCACGCGGTTAAATGCTGCAGACCTTTGCCTGCATGCACATAAATGCATATTCCTGTGCGTTATTCACTCTTAGGCAAACTCCCACTGCCCTCCTGATGAGTTTGCCTCAGGAAGGAAGGCGAGATTTGCCTCTTTGAAACGAAGGCCCAGCAAAGCTGCCACATCCCCGCTGCTGTTCCTGCCCCACTCCTGCCCATCCCGCAGCCCGGCCAGCCATGGAACTTCAGACTGATGCACAAATTCGGTCACTTCTCTACAGGGGGAAGGTTTTACACATCGCAGGAACAGCGCCTTCAAAATGTGTGCAGATGTTAACACACAGACCCTGGAATGACCACAGGGAATAAGCGCACGGCACACAAAGCCCCAGCCGAGCAGGGGAGCGTTAACAAGCAGCCGACCAACCCAAAGGCACTGAAAGCACTGCGGATGTTCTGTTACCTCACCGCGCGCTGCAGTGCAGGAACTGCCTGGAAAGATGCTTTATTGGTGCTGAGGGGTCTTCCTGGAGCAGACTCGCAATTGTTCTGTTTTAATCATCTGTAAAGGGCCTGACAGGGTGAGCAGGGATAGCCTGCTCCTTCTCAATTGCTTGCACTGCATTGTGCTTCCTAAAAATCAGTTCCTGCCAGCCCTCACATGAAAAGACAAACCTGAACGACAAAGCCCTGGCTGCTGGTTAAGTTTGCAGCCTGGTACCACCGTAGTTCTGCTCTCTCACCCACTGTTGTCAGAGCTGTGCTCTGAGGAGCCCCACTCCTGCTGCTTTCTCACTCAGCAGCAGAATAGCCAAGCTCCAGCTGCCCATCCTAGCACCAGGCCTAACTGCTGGCAAAGCTGTTGGAGATCTTTCAGTTAAAGGACAGTCCAGAGTGAACCACACTTAAAGCATATTAAATAATTATCTTAGAGAAAACTGTAAACTACACAAATAGCTGTATTTGGCTTAGAGGTAACAGATCATATGGGCCAAATTTGCTCCTGCTTACAACCACAGAAGGGCTCTGGAGGTGTTAGTGCAGTCTATAGTTATACCAAAATAACAGCAGTGAATACAGCCCCGTGCTGAACTTGCTAACTGCTGTGTGTGTGTGTTTATTGCGGCAGAAGCCTCAGTGTTTGACTGAATCCTTACTGCTGCTTTTGGCAGAGACACGAAAAGTCTGCATTATTTGAGAGCACAGACACTGTGGCAACATGATCACAAGATTTTGACACATTCAATAGGAAAGGGAATTTTTATAATCAGGATCAAACTCCATGGGGGGAAAAAAAAAAAAGTGAGAGAGAAAAAGTAAAAATAAAAAAACCTCCAGAATGTAAATATTTGACATGATGGGAATTCCTTGGGATTTTATCTTACTTAACTGTACACAAGACTCCAAGCTGAATGCATCCTCAAACCAAAAGCTACTGGATTGTATCCAAATTTTGTGGCTGCTTTTCTCTCTCAAATACTCCAGCCCAGCCCCACCAGATCCAAACAGTGTGTTTCAACTTGGAAAAGTTCAATTCCAGATCTAAAATCTGTAGTTAGGCCACATTTTGATTCCAAGAGCAGCATAAAGTGGCTGTCACTCATGTGTCACTCATGTGTCACTCTGTTACTCAGCCCCTGGGGACGCACATCAGCACAGCTCCTGTCTCCATCTTAAGAGAGACACAAGCTGACTGCTTCATAGAGTTCTTGGGCAAGGAGGAGGGGGGGAAGGAATTAATGACAATTCATCTTCAAGACAAAAATACTCATTCATAGGAAAATCTAAAAAAAATCTCCAACTGTGATCTCTTCCATTCTCTCGTTATCCTGTCTGTCTGTATTGATTAACCACAAGCGTTTCCAGAGAGCTCCTCAGTGCAGCAGCTAGACAAAACAGGATCTTTTTCCAGCTTTCTGGTGCGTGCTGCATCCAAAGCACTGGCCCAAGGTCTCCAGGCAAGAGGGCTGCACAAGTACTCAGGCAATTAGGAACGCCAGGCTGATCCCTGGAACCAGCAGAAACTGGGCTGAGTCTTGAGACAACTGCAGTAGCAAATACTAATCAACTATTCCATACTCTCATTTGTATAAGCAACTTGTAGAAAAAATCAGACCCACAGCATCAAATGATAGAAAGGCAGAACTGGAAATTCCTACGCAAAGTAAATTCTTGGTAAAATTAGGACGAAAGATTCCTAGGCAATGGCCAAGCCTGAAATGAGAACCTGCCACAGGAGCTGTGCTACAGAAGTACTCTTTGCTGCAGATTCAGATCCATTTCTCCATTTTGAAGGAAAGAAAATACCATCCAGGAGAGAAATACTGCAATATGCTCTGCTGGAAACAAACCTTGTTTGTGTTTCTCCATGCAGATTGACTTTGGAAAAAAGTTGAGTCACACATCTATTCCTTTATAAATGGAGGAGAAAATGCATACGTTAGAGTTTGCACCAAATTAGTTACTGAAGATGAACTCTTCTCCAGAGCTAGATTGTTTAATCTGTTATGTTATTGCCTCCTATGGCCAGAATTTATTATTTCCAGTTATAAATCTAATGTTTCAGTTAGTCACCCATTCACAGGGATAAGATCAGTGCCTGAAGTCATGGAGAATTTCAGATTTCTTCACTTAGAGATGACCTAAAGCCTTTGATATTTTCTGAGGAATGTTCAGACTGGAATGAAATGGGTGATAAGAAACTTATCAATATATTCTGCTTAAGTAAATTGTACTTATCCGCACAGACTTCATTAACAGAGCAAAACAGTGTTTCCTTAGCATTTTTCTCTTCTGAGAGCATGCAGAATGGATTTTGGGATAGCCACTAAAGGAATAAGCGCTTTTTCAAAAGCAAAGATGTCTGTATTGAGCAGATCAATTTCTTTTGCATTTGTGTGGAGATTAAGTCAGCAGTGCTTTCTATTCACTCAGAATAAGGCATTCCCAAGAGAACAACTCTGTGGGAAGAGATATATTTTATTTTATGATATTATAAAGTTGTAAAACTTAAATATAACCCACTGGGGGTGGAGCCGTGTATCACTGCACAACTTTGCATTTTGCTTACATTCAATCTGAACCCAGTTTTGGACAGGACTTAAGCACATGCTTAAGTCTAATTGGTTTCAGTGAAACTTAAGCACGAGTTCCGAATTAAGCCAGTTCATGAGCATTTTTCCTGATTAGTAATGCCTCCCTGAACTGAAGCCAGAATGTGGTCGAGTGGTTGAGGGACGATGCCAGTGCTTTCACTGGAGTTCTGTTTGGCTTCTGGAAAAGTATTTCTATTATTCATCCCTTATTTTTCAGTAAAATGGGCATATATAGAGCTGTTTCACTAGACTGATGCTCAGCCTGTGCTACTTGCAAAATGCTTTGAATTCACCAGATGTTTCTTTGTGTTCTTTGAAGAGTGGCACAATGAACATATTGGATATGTTAGCTATCACTGCAGAGCATCCCCTTGTGCAGTACAGAACATGACCACATGCGACATTCTGCAGATCTTAAGAGGGAACTCAGCTCACTCTAAAGTCCCAAGCAGCTCAGGGTTTTGGAGAAGAACTTTTTGAAACATAAATTCACCACATAACTTTAAGCACACTGGAAAACAAGTTCAGACACTCTACCCTGTCTTCTGTGGCTGTGATCATTGTCTGATTTGTCTCACATCCACAATTAAAATAGTGGAGCACTTGTGGTGAGCTGTCTAGAGGTTTTTAAGGCACTAGAGAAGTAAATATTTTGCTCTTGGAATCATGGAACCATTTATTTCTCCTGTAAGTGTCATGTCCAGGGGTAGATGACAAGGCAAATGGAACTTGTAGGAGGGAAAGAGAGAAGGGAGAAGATATTCTCTCCTGCATGTCAAAGATCTTCTTCAGTATAAACTATATTTAAATAAAAAGGCTCTTAAAACTGCTCTCTCTGGCTGTTTACACTGAAGAAAACCAGACCTGACACTGTAAATAGGATTGCAGGGCTCGATCCCACTTTCATTGGAGTCATAAATAGGAAAGATCCCATGACTGTAACAACACAGCATCAGGACCTTATTCAGAAAGTGCCCTTCCCCATAAACTGGCATGAATACTCCACTGAAAGAATACAGGAATGCAAAGGAGAAATGGGGTATGACACGTTCTCTCCCCAGATGGAGCAAACAAAGCAGGGCCCACCGCAGCTGGCATAGAGGACTATGGCAGCACGAGACATAAAAGCTCTGGCGGCAGATGTGAGTACACGTTCCCAAGAGATCTCCTACAGTTACTGTCGGTCACGATGCCACACTTTTCAGTTCCAGCAGAGCCCTTCCTGCCCTGCGCTCGCTGCCCTAATGAGCATGAGCCCCGCTGCCCCACGCCACTTCTCCCTCCTTCCTTGCTCTCAGATGGCATCAGGCAGCCTCAGGAAGAGGAGACTCGTGCTCTTCCTCCCCTAGACCAGCCAGTGTCAAAATACTTGGTCAAAAACAGCTGAGCAGCACCACATGGCCCCCACAGGCAGCAGCAGCCTGCATGCAGCCAGGAGCCTGCCTGCTGCCAGCACTGTGCCAACCCGAGCCACGGGAACCAACAGCCAGAGCACCGAGGGTTACGAGCAGAGGTGTGAGCTAATGGGATAACTGCTACGTGCCTTCTTTTTTGGCTTTGGTAAATCACCACAAAAACTGTTATTTCAGACAGCATGAACACACTGTGACCTGTGCAGTCTTGAGCAGTACTGCCACAGGTGTCTGACACAGAGAAATGTAGAAGGAAAAGGCAAAGAACACTGAAGGATGAAAGGAAATGCTTCAACTTTTTCTTCCTTGAACACTGATGAGAACTTCAGTT